CCGTGAGTACAGTTCTACTAAAATATTACGGTTGCTCCATGAGGTTGGTGCTGTTATTGCCTCGTTTTGCAGATGAGGAAATGACAGATTGCATATTTACCTAGAGTCGTACAGATTTTCAGTAGCAGGGCTAGGATTCAGACAAGCAAGTCTGGCTAAGAGCCTGTTCATATTCTTCACTACCGCTCTATACTGCAGGTGTCCTCTGATACCAACTTTTATTTGATTAACTAAAGGGAGAAACGATCATTAAAAGTATAAAACAGTCTGCAGCATCTGCTTCTCACTTCTTTGGTCCAAAGTATGAAAAAGCTCATTCTTCTCTTTTGTATAGATCCAAATAATTCTGTTATATTAAAAAGCCGTTTTGGTCAATATGGGCTACTAGAGCATCTAGATCCGCATTGTCCAATATATATGACCACTAGCCACATGGAGCTGTTTAGATTTAAATTCATTAAAATCTAATGAAATTGAAAATCCACTTTCTTATTCTCACTAGCTTTATTTTAAGTGCCTAATGGTCATTTGTGGCTAGTAATTACCTTATTGGGTAAGGATAAAAACTAGAACATTTCCATCATCACAAAGTTTTATCAGAAGGCACTGCTCTAGAAGAGTACTGTAGAATAGAAATACAATGTGAGCCACATGTGTAATTTTTAATTTTCTAGTAGCCGCATTAAAAAAGTAAAAAGAAATAGGTGAAGTTAATTTTAGTATATTTTTAGCCCAGTATATCCCACATATTATCATGTCAACATTTAATTAACAAAAAGTAATCATATATTTTCCTTTTTTTGCATTGTCAGCAAAATTTGGTATATATTTTGCATTTACAGCACATCTCAGCTTGAACTAGCAATATTTCAAGTATTCAATAGCTACATGGCTACCATGTTGTACAACACTGTTTTGGACTTTTACACCAGGTTTCTCAACTGGGACATATCAAAATGGGAGTAAGACAGAGGTCTGTGTAGTTCAAGAACTACTGCTATCAGCTTTGGGATCGCAAGTGGTGCACACATGCCATTTGTAAGATGATAGATGAGGCCAGAAAGTATTTTCTTTAAAAAGTTGCAGTTTGGCATCATAAACCAACTCAGACTACTAATGTTAGCTGTGTTATTTAATCCACTGTTAATAATTGCATAGACCGCTGACTGACTTCAAAGAACCAGTAAAATTTGAAGTTCTGACCAAGAGCCAAATAAAACTTGGAATAGGCACAAATTGAATATAAGTTATCTACAGACATTACTTACTTTTGTGAGGTATCTCCTGCCTTGGTGGCAGTATTCAGTGACGACTCATTTAGCCTAAGTTATATAACAAACTAACTATATATAAATATATACACACACGTACATATAAGTATGTAATTTTATCTATTTATACAGTTAGTTATATATAGTGACTCATAGAAATTATATCTTTGAATTTAGGAAATGTGTCTGTGCACATTGTTTTATAGCTGTGTACTCTCCTTGTATATTTTTTAATCTAAATTTCTTCATCTACCTTAAAGTAATATTGTAACTACAAACCTATAATTTACTCTACTTTTAAGCCTTTCCTTCTGATAAACTTATCTATGCATGTTGGGTCTAATTATAGCTCAGCGTAACCGTGTGTGTTATTCATCTGAATGAGTAAGCTTGTCTGGCAACAAGGGACTGTTGTTGCGAAAGCTTAATTTTCATCTGGCCTGAATGTGTTATGTCTGCACCTTACTGTCAGCTTCAGGAGAGGCAGGTAAAGGGGAAGATGGGGCAGAAATGCTATACTCCGCTTCCTTGCACCACTGCTTCTCAGTATATTTCAACACTTTGAAATAAATTTGGCCGTGATTTTATTTTTTTCTTCACCTTTCTTAAATAAGAGAAATCAAAAACTGGAGATAACACTGAACTTTCCTTTATTCTCCATCTTCTTATCTACTCCCTCCCATCACCCACTCCACCTCTACTCTGTTCCTTGCACAACCACGATGATGAATTTAGATATCGTTCCAGTTCATTTTTTAAAAGATTTTAACATATATCTATGTATAATATAAAATATTGTTTTATGTTTCTAGTTTATACAGTAGGATCACACTGTACATGTGCTGCAACTTGCTGTTCTCACATAGCATTTCAGTAGACTTTTTTGGCATACTTTTCCTTAGTATGAAAATTTGATAGATATATAAGAACATATTGAACATATAAGCAAATTATGAAACCTAGTCATAAACTCCTGAATCCACCATATAAACAGAGAAGTAAAACATTATCAGAACTGTTGAAGCTCCTGTGTGCTACCTTCCACCCTCTGATTCCACTCAAGAAACTACTCTTTTGAACTTTTTTCATTTTTTTTTTTTCTGCCTTACTACATGTGTATGTGTCCCTAAAAAATATATTTTCTTGTTTGCTTGTTTTTAAACATTGTAGAAATAGCATCATATCATACACATTCTTTTTATGCTTGCTTTTTTTATTTAGTATTTTAAAGATTTATTCATGTTAATCTGTATATTTTCACTGCTATGTAGTAGTATTCCTTTGAGTGAATTTTTACATTTTTCTGTCAGTGGACATTAATGTTGTTTCCAGTTTTGCTATTACAAATAGTGTTTACATGAACATTCTTGCACATGTCTTCTGGTAAACATATATAAAAATTTCTCTGAGCTATGTACCTAGGAATGCAATTGCTGTTTTGCACTATAGGAGTATATACATTCAACTTAAGTAGATAGGTCCACATTCTTTTTTTAAGTCCACATTCTTCTCCAGAGTGATTGAACATACTCATCAGCATTGTATAAGACTTCTTGTTTTTCCACGTCCTGATCAATACTTGGTTTTGTCAGGCATTAATTTTTGCCTATATATTTTGTCAAAAAATATATTGAATTGTAATTTTAAGTTTGATTTCCCTGATTTTAATGAGATTGAGCATTTTATATGATTATTGTCTATTCTTGTTTCCTCTTCATAGAAATGCCTGTCTGTGTCTTTTCTAATGGATTATTAGTCTCTTTCTTATTGATTCATAGGAATTTGTATATTCTGAGCACTAGAATATGGTCAATTTTATATTATCCAAATATCTTGTCTCAGTTTGTAGTTTGCCTTGTCACTCTTTAGTCATCCTCTAAAAAAAAACCTTTTGACTTTTGCATTTAAGTGCTTAATTCATCTGCAACAGAATTTTCTGTATTTATTGATGTAGACAACAAATTTGTTTTCCAAATACAAAAACTGGTTTCATAGTCCCATCAGTTTTGATATATATCAGATTTCCAGATGTGCGTGGAAAAGTTTGAATTTCTTTGAGCTTCCAAACACATGTTAAAGAATCAACTTAAAGTATCACTTTAAAAAAACTTTTGGACTTTTTATTCTCATTGCATTGGATCAGCTTAGAGGAAATTGATTTGGAATACAGTTGATTTTTTCATATTAATCTTATATCCAGCCATTTTGTTATGCTTTTTTATTAAGTTTTAATAAATTGTCTAGAGATATTTGGGAGTTTTCCGTGTACCTAAATACTGCAGATGTTAACAGTTTTATTTCTTCCATCCCAATCTGTATGCCTTTCGTTTTTCCCTTATGTCTTTCATACCTTGATGAATATGATCTCTACTACAATAATGATTTGAAATGGATATAATAGACATCCTTGTCTTGTTCCTCAATTTTTAAAGAATGTGCTTTTAATATTTTACCATTGAATATATTAGTTGCTGTAAGGGTTTTAGTAGATGCCCTTTATCATGTTAAAGAAGTTTCCTATTCCAATTTTGCTAAGAGTTTTTAACATAAATGGCTATTATTAGAGCCTGTTGGGTATTTTTTATGCATCTGTTGAAATTAACATTTTTTCTACTTTAATCTGTCAGTGAGGTAAATTTCATTAACAATTTTCTATTATTAAACTATCCTTATGTTCCCAGAATAATCCCAACTTGGTTAAGATGTGTGCTTTTTTGATATATTATTCAACAGTGCATTTTTTGTAAATATAAACTGATTTCAAAATAAGAAGGAATAGAAACTAAATCTCTGTTGACAATAAAATCTTTCCCAGTACCTTAACAGGGTATGTGGAGACTTTCAGGCTATTAGATGTAGGCATTAGCTTGATGTAGCAAAAAGAACGCTGGAAAGCTACGTTATTTTTGTCCTGTTCACTTGAGAGAATTAATACAATTCAATTGACTAGTGTGGGCCTTATGTTCCTCAGTTTCTCTGAGACTCAGGGACATATTTTTGCTGCTGGTAGCCATGTGGCCTCACTTGCTTTGCTGTTAATCCATCATTATCCAACAAACATTTACTTACTAGGCACTAAGGACAATGCAAAATCTATTCCTCAGTGAAGTTCTATTCTAGGGAGAGACAGAAAAAGTAAACAGTTAAAAAAACACTGTTATAAAATGGAATGATACATCTTATCTACTACAGATCATTCTGATCCTCAGGTGTGGGGTTGGATTGGAGTAGGCAGAGAGTCTGGGTAGAGAGAGAGGGAGAAAAGAGGTGGGACAGTTTTATGGATGATGAACAGTTACTGATCTCCATGAACCTCATTTGTGTTCTTAGTAGTTAACAAAGGTTATTAGACTATTTTTTTTCTCTACCTGCCCTTTTGGCTTTGAAAACTTGTCTCTTTGACTCTGACTTTTCAGGACCTCACTAATAATCTCATGCTTTATTAAACATTTGTGCTCCTACTTCTCGTTTATGGTCCTTCACATCTTTTGTTCCATAGATTTAGGGTTGTTGAATGACAAAATGGAATCTTCTTTTTTCTGTTTTAAGAAATACCAACATATTTCATTTATAGACTACCGATGATATCGACAAATGAATCATCATATAGAATTAACATTAATTTTATTGTTTTTATGAAATTGCTGAATTTATTGTTACCATGAGACTTTTTTAATTCCAGGCTTTATATGATCTCTAAGCACATTTCATTTGTATGTCTTATTTCAGCGCTGGACCCAAAGGAGACAACATTTATGAATGGAGATCAACTATACTGGGACCCCCAGGATCTGTCTATGAAGGAGGGGTGTTCTTTCTTGACATTACCTTTTCACCAGACTATCCATTTAAACCCCCTAAGGTCAGTATAAAGTATTCATCCATTTTTAGCAATGTATATTGTTTTCTATGTATATGCATATACATATTCTTAAATATACGTACCGAGAAATGCATGTCTATTTTGTTAGCATAGACCGCTTCCCAGGGCAGATTGTATGGAAAAGGAAACAGAATGTGAAAAATTATAGGTCGTTCCCCCACCCCAGCCTTTACTCATATTTCATTGCTTTTTCTCATCCTTTCTCAGTGTCTCCTTCTGAGGTATATGTTTAAATGTAACATTAGACAGCATGTTATGGCTGGAAGTAGGGGAGTAAAGTTGGGCTGTGCCAGCCCTCGAGCCCAGAGAACCAGACATAACCTGAAGCTGGAGCCAGAGCCAAGCCCAGGAGCCAGACTAAAGGAAGAGGGAATCCCACCAAGGAAAGACTTATGGCACCAGCTATGGAGCTTTGGGTTTTGGAGCCTCAGTGGTTCAGTTGCTTACATGAATTACACATGTGCTACAATGGAGAGTGTGACGCACAAAGACTTAAAAATCATGCCAAGAAAATTCAGTAAAGTATTTGTAATAGTCTATTAGTACAAAATGATTAGTACAAACAAAAGTCATACATCGATGACTAAAGAAAGTGTAAGAATACAGTGTAATCAAAACATGGGAGAATTTTCACCTATTTAAACTGAGATTATATTCTTTAAGAATTCTTCACATTCATTTCTACTGACCATAAATCAGTCATTTGATGAGTTTCAGTTCATTCTCCACTTTAGAAAGGAAAAGATCCTAAGGACACTGACCCTATATAGTTGTTGATTTTGTTGTTGATTATTGCTACTAGGATTACCCACATGGTCCTCCACCCAACCTGACTCAAGCTCAGATAGATCTTTCCCTCTAAACCAGCACCAGTCACCACCAGGTCAGTTGGTGGCATCACCAAGTCACTCCAGCCAAGAATTTCCACATCTCCCAGTTTAATTTCCTTAACCAGTGCCTCTCCAGATCTCTTGGCCTCTAGGCTTCTGCCTTTCCAAACAATGAGTCCCAGAGCTGCCAGAGGGAGCATCCAAACCACATTGACCTTGTGTATTGACCACCAAGAAAGTATTCTTATTTGACCTGACTTAACCTCTCAATGCATAGGGAAGTAAAACTTATTTGAGTTGTAGGTTGGAGTAAACAGTTTTAAAAAGCAAGAATAAGACTATATTTTCCCATGACTTTTGTAATTCCCTTCCCTTTCTCCTACCTTCCCTCTCTGTTTTCCTCTCTCTTCCTTTTTTTCTTCCATTCCGTTATTGCTCACATATTGTTTTGATATCAAAGCAAAAAGTAATAACTATAATTTTACCAAAGAAGAAACCAAGGCACAGAGAAACTTAAGTAAGTAACTTACCCAGCATTATGCAGCAAGCAAATAGTGGTGTCAGGATTTTAAACCAAGAAGTCTACATTCTTTACTACATTCTTTACTACATTACACAATGCATTTTATCCAGGCTGACAGAGCTAGTGGCACTGATGACCGCTCAGAGTTGCATTTGGTATGTTTTCAGTGACAAAGCCATGGTATATCTAATACGTATTTTCTCCTTTAATTGGATGAGACCTTCTGTCTTTGCATTCTACTTTGGACCATCCCGTAAATCACCTAGAGTATCTGTTACACCACCAGTGATGTGAGGACCCCTCCTGACAGCCTCTTCAGTAAAGGAAGTTTAGAGTGGGGAAGAGGAGGGAACACTCAGATCAGGCAGTTGTGCAGCTTTAAGTCTGTGTGGTCTGTTCTATGAAATATACATCTCAGAAAGTGCGTGGGCTTGTGCAAGTTTTTCATGACAGAAATGTATAGATTAAACAAAGCTAACAGGGAAAACTAATAAATTAGATAAAATAATTCAACTTCTGAAAAAACCTTGATGGACTGGAAGGATGAGCCAAAACTAACAAGATGGGCTTTAACATGGCCAAATGTGTAGTGTTTCATAGAGAATCAGAAAGAAATTATGATATTATAGGAAAGAGAGATCTGCTATTTTTCATATAAATAAAATTTGTGGGCTTTTGGCTATAATTATTTGGGAACCTGAGGTTCTTGAAGCTTTAAGGAGAAATTTTTAGGAGTACAACCTCCAGAACTCTGAACCATTCTCACGAATCTCGAGTGCCTTTTTCACTTCTAAGCTCATCATTTTAAAAAGGGCAAACTGGAATAAGCTGGGAGAGAGAGAGAGTTATTAGCAGTCTTGAGTTTCTTCACTGGGTCAAGCACTGCAGTGAGCATCAGCTGTGCCAGCTCATTTCTTCTCCAGAATACCCAGGTCAGGCTAGGATGTTCCCTTTCACAGATGATGAAGCTTAGAGAGATTTTCCAATAATGTCCAACCAAGAATCTGCTGAACTGTGACTCCCAGGACCATGGACTTTCCACTGAATTATACACAGTTCCCCTGGAGGTGTTTACTAGTTAAAACAGGACATAGGATGAATGTGATATTTGTCCTCAGATTTTTCAGGAACTATAGTGCAGGTTGGGGTTAGACTTTATCCTGGATGACTAGATGGGACAAAAATAGAAGCAAGAGGGTGCTAGTTATAGGAAAGTAGATTTCAATTCTATATGAGGAAAATAGCTAGACAGTCTGCTTTTGAATAGCTGTACTTCTGAGACACTGGGCTTCCCTTTACCCAGGAGTGTTATTTAAAAAAAAAAAAAAAAAGCTGAATTAGTACTTGTCAAGATTATCACTAGAAAAAATTAAATCTCTCCACTGAATGAATTTGATTAGACACTCTCTTAAGACAAAGGTAACTCATCACAATTTAAATGCACATTTATTAGAAACCTGTGGGAAGTTTTTCAAAGGAAATTATCACCACCTAATTTATCAGTTTTAGAAATCAGATTTCGTAGACAGGTATGTTACTCTAAGGGGAGAAAACTTCATGTGTGTCTTAAAAGCTGTTAACTAAAACACTTTTATTATTACTAGTTTTGTTCTCTGTTGCCTTCATCCTATTCTCTTTTCCAGGAACCTTAGCCACACATTTTGATTCATGCAGTATTTCCCAATACTCTGAAGAATGAACCAGTATTGCAGAGTAGGTGTCAAGGAGAATTGTTGGTGAGAGCAGAGGCTCAGCATAAATAAATCTAATTGGCTATCTGTTGGTTATCAAATATCCATAAAATTAGTCTAGCATGATTGGATCCATGTGATGACTTTTCCCAAACTCTCATACTTGAATTCTTAGTGAGGACTTTTGTATATATACTGTAGCGCTCAAACGCATCTCTTAAAGGTCGGTAGAGTCATTTGGATGACTCTTCTCACCACAGGAACTTTTGGGAAGTAGGGCTTCTGTTTGAACATCCCACACTCTGATGCCTCATTTTTCAAAATCAGAGATGAACTTTTCAATAATTTCTTTGAGAATTCACCTAAATTCTAATAAGGCAAGTAAAACTTTTTAATTAAGAATGTAATATTCATTAAACTTAATATACTAGTTTTAAATAGGTTTGAATACTAGTACTTTAAAATGCTATATCTCAGTACAATTTTTGTACATTGATTTTCTTATATGTGTGATCAATATGTTTATGCATCTTTTACCAAATCTACAGCATTTTTGTATGACATCATTTAGTTGGATCTGAAGTATCAGTTGCCAAGTCTTTAGTTGAATTTTTAACATTATTTCTCTTGGAAAATTATCTGTTTAATGAAACTTTAGGAATTTATGGCCAAAAAGAAAAGCATAATAAATTGCTGATATGCCCCAAAGTTTTTTAATACTGTATTTCTTTTTCAGTGTAGATATATATTTTAATGTTATGATTCAGATATGTGTTTATTTTTGAAGTAGAAATTGCTTTGTATCTTATTGGGAATTATATTTTCTTATCTCATTTTATAGATAATTACTTCTATGCTCAAAATCTCTTTTTTATTTCAAAAGTCTAATACATATTTTAATATTTTAATTTTACAAAGTCTACATATTTGTAATAGAATAAAAAGTAATTGCAGATAAGCAAAAGGAAAAAATTTAAAATACCTGTAATTCTAACCCAAAAAGTAATTACTTATGCTATTTCGTATATCTCTTGAGATTTTCGTTCTCTGCATATATATGTATATATACATATAAATATATTTTCATATACACATATAATATATACACATAAAAATTGTGCCATGTTACCTATGGTTTCAGAATTACTTTTTTACCTAATATTATATATTCACCCAACATTATATATATGTCCAACAAACATATACTCACATTACAATTATAGTGGCTACATAGTATCCAGTTATATAAATATATCAAATTTAATTAATTTCCTATGATTGGACATTTAAGCTCTTGTCAATGTTTCTGTTATAATCAGTGATGTGATGAACATCCTTATAATTACATATTTTATATACTTCAGTGATTATTTCCTAAGGCTAAATATGTTGACATGTAACTTCTGGGTAGATGGGTTTACAGACATTTGAGAACTTTGACAAAAGTTGACAAATTGCCCTCCAGAAAAAAATTGTACGTGTTTACATCATGTTCATCAACATAGTGTAGTACTTCCCTGCACTCTTTTCAGCTCTGAGAATTCCTGGTCTTTTTTAATCTCTGCCAATCCAGTAGATGAAAAGTGATCTCATGGTTGCTTTATTTGTTTGACTTCCAGTGAGATGTGGAATTATTTTCATGTATTCTTTTGTCCAATTATTTCTTTTTGTGAATAATACAAAAGGTTTTTTTTCTTGACAGTCTCTCACACCAGGTAAAATTAACAAGTATACCTAAAAAAAAATTCAGAAGCAGAATAATGAAATGTTTTATATGAAATATTATTTTTTGACTAAAATCTTTGAAAATATTGTGACACCATACCTAATGTTTTAAGTCTCAGAGATTCTAATGACATACATCCTAACTAAGGAGTCATGTTAGATAACAGGACTTTGTTTTTATAGTAGAAATATATAGAGGTAGCCTATTCA